TGGACCGGTGCTTCAATCATGATTACGTGCACAAAAACTGGCCTCTGTTCGGTTTTTATATTCCTCGGGTTGAATTGTTTAAAGACCAATGCCCATATTCTAATTTCACCAATAATCAAATTTTTGGTGGATTGTGACAGAAGTGAATGAAATGAATGATTGGAAAGTGACGACCCAACAAATATTTGATTAAAATTAATTATTGACTTTATTATAATTTCTATCAAACAAGTGCTTAAATATTTTGGTAGTTCATATATACATAAATAAAAATTTATTGGACCTTTGAAGTCGATTTTAAGTTCATGTAGTAGACGCTTAAACCAAATTCCTTCACATATTCCATGTGCAAGTACTCGGAATTCTGCTTCGGCTATGCTACGAGCAACGACTTGTTGCTTCTTAATTCGCCAAGTTACTAAGTTTCCCCAAATATATGAACAATACCCTGATGTTGATCTTCTGTCAATAGGAGAGCCAGCACAATCCGCATCTGTGAACACCTCAATAGTTTTCTCATCAATTTTCCTAAACATACCCTTGACAGGATCTTTCTGCAGATACCTTAAAATTCGAAACACAGCTTCCAAGTGCTCTGTTGAGGGATTACTTAGAAACTGACTTACCACACTCACGGCAAAGCTTATGTCCGGTCGTGTATGTGTGAGGTATATTAATTTTCCCACCAAGTGCTGATATTTTCCTTTATCTATGGTTGAGCCTCCATCATTCGCCTTCAACTTAGTATTAGGATCCATTGGTGTTTCCACTGGTTTGCACCCAAGCATCCCGGTTTCTTTTAGAAGGTCTATGACATATTTTCGTTGAGATACAAACAATCCTTTCCGTGATCGAGCAACTTCCATCCCTAGGAAGTATCTAAGTTGTCCCAAGTCTTTGATTTCGAACTCGTGAGATAGTAAGATTTTGAGGTGTTTCATTTATTCTTCATGATTTTCAGTCAGCACGATATCTTCCACATAAACAATCAGTATTGTAAGTTTGTCATTACTAGCATGTTTGACAAATAGGGTGTGATCTGCTTGACATTGTGAATATCCATCGTGTTTAAGCACTTTAGTAAATCTCTCAAACCAAGCTCGGGGAGATTGTTTGAGACCGTAAAGGGATTTATGGAGTCTACATACCATGTCCATTGAGTGATTAGCTCTAAAGCTTAGAGGAATATCCATGTAAACTTCCTCCATGAGATCTCCGTTCAAAAAAGCATTCTTCACATCTAGTTGATATAGTGGCCAATCTAAGTTCACTGCCAATAATAATAACACTCGAACTGTGTTAAGTTTAGCAACATGAGCAAAAGTTTCGTGATAATCGATCCCATAGGCTTGAGTGAAACCTTTAGCCACCAATCGAGCCTTAAATCTTTCAACACTTGCATCTTCCTTTTGTTTAACTGAAAAGATCCATTTGCAGCCAACTCTTTTCTTCCCTGGAGGTAAGGTGGTAATGGTCCAAGTTTTATTTTTCAAAAGCTTGAGTCTCGTCCAATGCTGCAGCTTTCCATTTTGGACTAGAAAAGGCTTCCTCAATGGTTTTTGGAATCTGAATATGATCAAGACCAGTAACAAAAGCGTGGAAACCTTCTGACATATTTGAATAGGATAGGTAGTTCTGAATGGGATGTTGGGTACATGAATGTACACCTTTTCTATGAGCAATTGGCTTGTCTAACTCTGATTCCTCAATCGCAAACTCTTTGAGTTCCAAATATGGTTCCTGACTCAGTTTTTCAAGTATAATTTCAGGATTAGAATGTAAGGAGTTCTCTTGGTTGTGCTGAACTTGTGCTGGCTGTCTACCTTTTTCCTTCTAGTATAGACTTTGATTTCTTTGGTTGGACTACTGTGAGGGACTGGTTCTATAGGATTAGGAGTAGGGTCTTGTGATGAAAACAAGATCTGATTTTTGTCTGATTGAGGTCATGATTCAGGTTCAGGAGATGCTTGTTTGAAGTTAGGAAGGTACTGATTTACAGATTCAGAACCTATGGTAACTTGAGTAGGTTCTAGAATATGAGGCCAATCCCATTTTTGCAACTCACAATCATCTTTCTCCACCTGAGTTGAAAAAGTGGAAAATAGAACTTGTTTTCAAAGAATGTGGCATTCATAGAATGAAAAAATTTCCTGGTTTGTGGACAATAACATTTGTACCCTTTCTTATTTGTGGAGTACCCTAAGAAGACACATTTGATAGCTTTAGGATCAATTTTGTCCGATTGTGTGAATGAATGTGAACAAATGCAGTACACCCAAATATTTTAAGGGGAATTTTGGATACTAAGTGTGAAATTGGAAAGAGTTTTTGAAAGCTTTGTATTGGGGTTTTGAATTTTAGGATTCTAGAAGGCATCCTATTGATAAGATATGTAGCAGTAAGAATGGCATCCCCCCAAAATTTCTTAGGCATATTAGAAGATATTAATAGAGAACGTGCAATTTCAAGCAAGTGCCTATTTTTGTGTTCGGCAACACCATTTTGTTGTGGTGTGTCAACACATGAACTCAAGTGAACAATACCATGCTGTTGGACGTATGTTCCGAGTATGGAGTTAAAGAATTCTTTGGTATTATCAGTTTTGAGTACTTTATTAGAAATTCTGAATTGATTTTGGACCATCATATGGAAATTCTTGAAGATTTGATTTGTTTCATTTTTGTCTTTCATGAGAAAAGTCCAAATTATTCTTGTGTGATCATCAACAAACAAAAGGAACCATCGTGAACTAGTGATATTAGGGATTCTAGTGGGTCCACAAATGTCACTATGAATTAAAGAGAATGGATGAGATGGTTTGTACATGATAGTAGTATAGATGCTACGAGTATGCTTAGAGAGTTGACAAGTTTCACATTGGAAAAATTTAGGATTTTTATTGCCAAATAAGGATGGAAACAAACGTTTTAAGTAAACAAAATTAGGATGACCCAATCTATAGTGCCAAATCATAATAACACTATCTTTATTTGAC